AATCAGTTACAGAAGACGATGACGTGGCAATCCGGGTTAACGGAACTCGGGGCGCTACAATATGTATTTGCAACTGAATTTACTAGCAAAATTGAATATTCAATTGTCAATATGAGCAATGTGTTACATTTTTTAGTATTCTAAAATGTGTCGATATGCTCGATACGTTTTCGAAGCACCTTAAATATAGGGTATGAACGTGAGCAGTCAACCCATTTTGTTGACAACATATGCACGTATAAACACCAAAATTTGTGTAAAATTAACCTAACAAACCCTAGCTCATTTTTATAACTTCAGGGAAAAAACAAAAAAACAAATGAGTCCAATAAACATCAAAGTAACCCAAATAACTCACGTCCACGAATTTATATAAAGCAATCTATAAATCAAAAATCAAAACAATTTTTTCTTATTGCAAACTATTTATTCTGAGCCCGAACTTCTTTCTTTTTCGATCTTTTTCTAGTTTTACAAGCAAGTGATGCTAGTAATGAAAAATGTTGTATTTTTGAGAGTTGTGACAATGAGGAGGAGGAGGCTAATAATGATATCCTACCATCTACATGAGGTAATATAAATTCTTGAGTTAAAATAAGGGAGTATGATGAAGATAATTTTACATCGGATCATATGGAAGATGATTTGGATGAAGAGGAATTTGAATTGGAATCTAATAAAGAGTTAGATATACTTAGGATTTTATTAAGTTGATGTTCATGTCTAATCTAATTATAGAATTGATTACTAAGTAGCTGCAGTATTTATGATTTTGAGCATTTTCCTTCATCTTCATCTACTTCTATATATATTTTTTATTTTTTCGAAACATTGAGGAATATGTATAAAGTTTAAAAAATGCATTATTTTATTTATTTATTAGTTTAGAATATTTAAAATAAAATTAAAAATTGAAAATGCATAATTACTCATATACTTTGCATAAGCGCGCATATCCTTGTAATGCCTGATGCTGTATCGAAATGTTATGTCACACATTGTACATTTTAGAACCTTGGTATTTTTAGCCATATCAGTAAACAGATTCCTATCACAATTATGCCGCTAAGTTATCAACAGTCTAATGTTTTCTTTATACCCACATAATAATCGTGATTTTTTAATATCTTTTGCACGTTTAATATAAGATAACAATGTTGTTGGACACAATTTAAAAGTATTGAGTGTTTAGTTACCGTTAAAAGGAAAAAAAAAATTAGTCACAATCCATTATAGTGGGAATTAGGGGCGGTTTACTAAAAAATAATGTGCGTTTACTTTATTTCTGTAGAATGGAAAATGTAACTGTCAATCTTTGTTGTAAAGGTAGAAAATTTTCATTTGTTAATCGCTAAATGTTTTTTTGATCTAAAAGCAAGAGACTCTCTATTTTTAAAGAGTATACTCTATCATTTGAAAAACATCTATAAATTTAGAATGTCTTCAAAAGATTCCCTAGTTTTAAAGAGTATATTCTATTATTTAGAAAATATTTATAAATTTAGACAGTTAACAAACTCTTTCTATTTAATACTTAATTTTAATACTCTAAAAAAATATTTATTATTTTTTTTATCTTTTATTTTATTTAAATTATTTTAAGGTACTGCTGTGACCTAATTATTGTTGTTATTAGGGTGGTCCTCTCTTTAAGTGTTCATACGTATGGCTGCGTTCTCAAGAAATCCTTTGAAATATTCTTTGAAACTTGCTAGCTGAGATGTTTCCTTCACAACAAAATTTTGATCTGAGATCTCAGGACACTTCAATTTTTCAAGAAGATCTAGCAAACGAAAAGTATATTTTTGCAGATGATCAAGATTTATCGGTGCTGGCTGGAAATTGTTGTGTTTCCAGTCCTAAAGACACAAAAAAGAGGCAAAGAAAAACATCATCATATAATCAAGAAAACAAGGAAGGGGCTAGAGCTGATAACAAGGGCAATAAAATCCTGCATAGAGAATTTGAAAAGCAAAGAAGGAAAAAAATGGCAAACCTTTATGCTTCTCTTCGAGCACTTCTTCCTCTTGAGTATATCAAGGTGAATACGTAAATCATAGTACATATATGATAATTATTTGGAGCACTACTCTCCAATTATAATGAACAAGACTGTTATTATTATCATTTTTCAATGTCCATAAATTCATTCATGTTTGTGGTGACATAGGGGAAGCGTGCAGTATCTGATCACATGAACGGGGCTGTGAATTACATAAAAGACAGTCAGAGGAATATCCAAGAACTGTGCTTGAGGAGAGACAAGTTGAAGAGATTGTCTACTTCAGGATCCATTTCTGCTGATTTGCCTAATAATCATGTGACGGTGAGCCGTCTCCGACATGGGGTGGAGATTTTGATAAACAGTAGCTCGAAAGAGGGAGGGTTTCCTCTGCCAAGAGTGCTTGTAGAACTGATTAGAAGAAAGCACAATGTAGTAACCTCTGTTTCTACAAGAGTAAATGACAGGTTCCTCCACAGAATCCAGATTGAGGTAAGACAGTTTGTTAATCCTATTTCCTTCTTAAGAGAGCAATATAAATGAATTGAAAGAAAGTCGGAAAAATGAAGAAGTCACCACCGACTTCAGAAAAAAAAAAAAAAGGAAGCCCTTCCAAAATTTTCCAGGATCTTCATATATATATATATCTTTTGCACGTATTGGGTGTGATAAATGTATGAGAGAAAGTGAAGGAGTCTAAGTGTGTGCAGAAAATTCATACGTGAGGTGCTACCTAAATGAGTGGAGTTTTAGTTTCAATCTAAAGTTTGTAAGTCTATTTTGCTAATAAAAAATATTTCCTTCGGTGTTTAAACTTAACAATTTGGTATTAGAGTGAGGCTGTCGGGGATCAATAGTTAAGTTTCTGGAGTTCGTGCACGAAGTGATATTTTGAAGCTTCCGTTAAGCTTGCTTGATAACGAGGAGATTTTTCAAGTCACGATGGGCGACCTACAAGGGGTAGGCAGAGTGAAGAAGCTCAATAATTATATCTACACAACATGTCTAGCTTGAATAGAGTCATATGTTCATAGAAAGATTTTTGGGACATAGTTAGTGGCAGTAACGTGACACCATCAGAAGAAGCCGCGACTCTGAAGAAGCAGAGAATTAAAGCAGCCAATAATATATTTGCTATAAAGACAACAATCAAGGAATAATTATTAGAGCAACAAAATGGTGACAAGAGAGGTCGGGGATATCAATGAACTAATGTTTGCTAGTTTGCATGTGGAAAAACGAGGCCATTATTCAATAGATTGTTGGTTTAAAAAGGAGCGACCAATAAGTAACGCAGCAACCTCAAATAGCAAGAGAAATATAGTTGTAAAGAAGAATAGGATATTGATGCAACCATGATAGTAACTAAGCAGGTTCGAGAGAAGAAATTCAATTTAAGTCCAAAGGACAAATCAACATTGGTAGTTGTCATCCCTAAACAAATGGATTATGAAGATGATTGGACCAATGACTCAGAAGAGGACATTTCTATTCATGAAGAGTTTTCTTGGTGACTCCGCTGAGAGAGGAACTAGCTTATATAAAAGAAATGGAAGGGTTTGAAAAAGAAAACTCTTGGCAAACACCATATACAAGATGACACATTGAAGGAAAATGTGGCCGAGGAAATCAATGAAGTAAGATAGAAGCTCGAAATATACAAGATATGATGGAATCAATCAATGAACAAGAGCATGCAAATGTAACAAATGAATTTAAAAATCTACAAGTATCAAGTGATAAAGAAGAGCTTAAAAGAATGACATGAAATCCTTAGCAAAATGATATGTATCAGAAAATAGAAAAGGATGATCGATAGAGTCAACAATAACCCATTGAGTTAAGTACAAGTTTACAACCACAAACAAAAAAAGTGAGTAGACATGAGAAATTGTTGAAGTAGTCGAGTAATGTGACACTTTTGTTGTCTTTAAACAAAAGTATTTTTGGTTGTCATTTGGTTACATATTTTGGTTTGTGTCTAACTCTATGTAATGATGTAAAGTTAGGCTAGTTTAAGCTACTACAAGTTATGTACTGTCTAGTATGACATTGAAGTAGTAGGTACAAAAGTTAATGATTAGATATGTTATTTTGTATTAAACTTTGGCTATATATTGAACCTTGTAAAATTATTATGTTTAGATGAAAATTTTGAATTTTCTTCTCCTCTTATTAGTTCAATATCTAAGAGTGGTATCAGAGCAGAAAAAATCGATCTTTGAAAGGATTGAAAAATGGTGAAAATCGCTTTGAAAAGTAGAGGAAAACAGAGCAAAACCGGTAAGTGTGCTACATATACAGTGAGGGCAGTGCATATACGATAAGGAGAGTACAAATTCGGTATCTTCAAATACGGTGAGTGTGTTGCAAATTCAGTTAGTAGTATCAAATCTGGTAAGCCTCTTGCGAATCCGGTAAGTTCACCTTCTCTGTTTTTTCCTTCTTTCTGAGCGGTTCTTGAGAGAAAACAAGTAAGAAACCTTCCTAAACTAAACGAGTGTGAGTGATGGCTTCAACAGGATTTTCAGCACCCCTTCCTTCAGCCTTCAATNAAATTACGGTTTTTGGGCTGCTAAAATGAAGGCTTATTTGAAAGCCTATGATCTGTGGGAAATCACAGAATCAGGAGTAGAACCACCACCACTTAGAGCAAATCCTACTATAGCTCAGTTGAAGCAACATAGTGAGGAGATTGCAAAAACGTTTAAATCTTTGTCTTGCATTCGATCTTCACCAGGATCATTACCTGTGAAACAGCAAAAGAGGCTTGGGATAGATTGCTTGAGGAATTTAGGGGAAATGTAAGGACGAGGCAAATGCAGGTTCTCAATCTTAGAAGGGAGTATGAATTACTGAAGATGAAGGAGACTGAATCTGTCAAAGAATACTTAGATAGATTGATGAAAGTGGTGAATAAAATAAGGTTGCTACGGGATGAAGTACCGATAAGCGTGTGGTTGAAAAGGTGCTTATCAGTTTGCCTGAAAAATTTGAGGTAAAAATCTCTTCACTTGAAGATTCTAGAGACTTGTCTGTCGTTACCTTATCTGAGTTCATAAATGCCTTGCAAGCAACTGAGCAAATGAGGTTATTTAGACAAGAAGAACAAGTTGAAGGAGCTTTATTTGCCAAGGGAAAGTATAAAGCTCAACCAAGTTTTGGTGTGAAGAGGCAACAATTTGAAAAGAAGAAGGGGGAAAACAACAAAACTTCAAGCAAAAATGAAGGCTACCCTCCATGTCCTCATTGTAAGAAAACGGGCCATTCTCCTAAATGGTGTTGGTACAGGTCAGAAGTCCAATGTAGAGCATGTAAACAATTTGGACATGTTCAAAAGGTGTGCAAAAATCAGAGAGAGAAGCATGAAACTCAACAGGCTCAAATTGCAGAAAATCATCAGCAGGAGGAGCACTTGTTTACAGCAGTGAATGGAGGAGCCTGCAGCAATGTTGAGATGTGGCTATTGGACAGTGAATGTACTCATCGTAAGACCTTTAATTCCAGCATATTTGTAAAGCTTGATGATAGCTACAGATCAAAGGTTAAAGTTGGAAATGGAAAGTTTGTAGAAGTGAAGGGAGTTGGTGAAATATCAGTGCAAACCGTGATAGGTACCAAGTATATTTCTGATGTTTTATATGTTCCTAACATTGATCAAAATTTGATAAGTGTTGGTCAATTGATCAAAAAAGATTATACTTTGGTATTCAAAGACAAAAGATGCACTATTTTTTATTCAAAAAATCAAGAAGTGATGACTATTGGTATGAGGAATAGAAGCTTCCCTTTAGAATGGAAAACTATAGGTAATCAGGCACTTACAAGCACTGCCATTGAGTCTTCACTATGGCATAAAAGATTTGGGCATGCTAATTACACATCACTTAGACAATTACATGATTTAAAGCTTGTTGAAAACTTGATTGAAATCGGCAATTGGGAAAGCAAACTAGGTTGCCATTTCCTATAAATTAGTCTAGAAGGACTTCAGAAAAATTGCAACTTATCCATTCTAATGTATGTGGTCCAATGAGAACTCCTACCTTAAGTGGCAGCAAGTATTTTGTTCTGTTTATCGATGATTTAACCAGGATGTGCTGGGTATACTTTTGAGGCAAAAGTCCAAGGTTGGTGCTGTATTCCAAAGGTCTAAGAACTTTGTTGAAAATGAGAGCAACTATAAAATAAAGGCCATTAGATCAGACAATGGAACTGAACATTGCTGCAGCCAGTTTGACAAGTTCTGTATAGACATGGGAATACAACATCAGCTGACTATTCCATATTCTCCCCAGCAAAATGGTGTTTGTGAAAGGAAGAATAGGACGGTTATGGAGATGGCTAGGTGTCTGATGTTAGAGAAAAATGAGCCTAAAGAGTTTAGGGCTGAGGCTGTAAATACTTTAGTCTATTTACTTAATAGGTTACCTACTAAATTATTGGATAGAAAGACACCATATGATGCCTGGTATGGATTGAAACTAGATGTCTTTCATTTGAATGTTTTTGAAAACCTTTGCTATACTCATATACCTGATGTAAAGAGGGATAAGTTGAGCCAAAAAGCTGAGGTTGGAGTACTAATTAGCTACTGCAGTGATGCCAGAGGCTATCGGGTGTTCAATCCTCCTAGTAAGAAGATAATCTCTAGCAGAGATATCAAGGTTGATGAAGAAGTTTCATGGAATTAGGAATCAAATTCTGAGAACAGAACTGAGACTCCAAGACTGATTCCTCAAAATAAAGATGCTGGTAATGATGAAGTGGATGGAATGGAAGGCGAAGTTGAACCTGAAAGTAATTCAGATTCAGAAAATGAAGTACTAAGGACTAGACCACTTACTGATGTATATGCCAGGTGCAATTCAACTCAACTAGAGCTCTCAAACTTTGCAGAAGCTGAGAAATCTAAAGATTGGATGTCTACAATGAAGGAGGAGCTAAACATGATTGAGAAGAATGAAACCTGGGTGCTAGTTGACAGGCCAAAAAATAAGAATGTGATTGGAGTCAAGTGGGTATACAAAACCAAATTGAATCCTGATGGTTTAATTAACAAGCTGAAGGCCAGGCTGGTTGTGAAAGGATATGCTCAGCAACTTGGGATTGACTTCACAGATACATTTACACCAGTAGCAAGATATGAAACTTTCAGATTATTGTTTGCTATAGCTGCTCAAGGAGGTTGAAAAATTCATCAGCTGGATGTTAAGTCAGCCTTCCTAAATGGCTACTTAACTGAAGAGATCTTTGTTGATCAACCCGATGGTTTTCTGGTGACTGGAGCAAAGGACAAAGTCTATTTGTTGAAAAAGGATTTGTATGGTTTGAAGCAAGCTCCAAGGGCATGGTATAGCAGAATTAATGAACATTTGTACAGCCTTGGTTTCAATAAAAGTGTCAATGAGCAAACACTTTATATCAAGCATTTGGGAAACCAAGGAAGTGATTGTCATCTCTCTATATGTTGATGATCTGTTAATAATCGG